TACGTATTTTTTTAAACAGCCCGGCAAGATCGTTTAAAGGTACTGACTCTATAATTTTCGATTCCTTATTACAATTCTCAGTGAATTYAGACTATCCGKTCATGGGGTKGGGGAAGGATCGCAGAAGCGATTTTTCGGGTAACACTACGGACTTCTTATCGGTATCAGTCTTTGCATGACTTACGAAATTGAATTTTTATACTTGGTATACACCTAAAACGTCTTAATTTCTGAAAATTAGAGAATTTAAGCAATGTAGTATAATACATAGAAATCATGAGACTTAGTATATGGACAAATTAAAACACCTTTATTTTTTTATAAATTTTCAGTACAGGGTTGGTTCTAAACCAAGCAGTAACACGACAATACTATTGATAAAACGTTATCGTGACATATCAGATCTAATAATTGCATGAAAATACGAATATTGTGAGTAAGAATTTGATAAACTTTGTAAGTTCTTGCTGTGACTTCAACACTAAATAATTTAAGAYAAATTATTACACCAATTGTGCTGAAAGTCTACCCCTGCACGTCAAGTCAAGATGGCCTCTGCAAGTGAAATTYAGTTTGCTTGTTTCCTTTTGTTTTTTTTTTATGTTGTTTTGCTTTGTTTTTTCGGTTTTCGATTTCGACCTTTTTCCATAAAAAAACTGATTCAGAATTGAAATCTCGTTTTTTATCTATTTATATTACTTTTATTTTCATTGTTTCTTTTCCTATTTCTTTCAGTTTTTTCATATGATTTTTCATATCTCTTTCCCTTAGCTCGCACATGCATGGGCAGACGTTCAACATCCTAGTGAAGTACATCATCGACTGAACAATGTCTATTTTCAACGTCATAATAATCTAATAATCGATCCCATCATCCTTGGCGAGCATCAATRGCTCTAGCCTCTTTATCTTGACCAAGCCTTCTGAGATGGCCGAGGTGGGCGCCAAGCGCCTGTGTGAAAGTAGGGAGATAGTTATATCTGACGTTGAATTCCTCACATGTTTTGCGGACTATCGGGGAGATCTGGGGATAGTGTACTTGACTGACGCCTGGGAACAAGTGATGCGTTGACTGATGATTCAGAGCACCTGAAAAAAAMAACAAGATTGACAGATATGACATAAACACTTCCCTTGACTGGATAAAGGACTGGACAGAGGCGAATCTAGCTGATTGATAGGTGCGTGCAGAGGGTGCGCAACTCCTCCTGGGATCAAATTTTTGGTCTCCTCTGTGACCATTTTTACAGTTTGCATTCCCTCATCGAGTTGTTAGCCTCCCACCCTACAGAAAWTTCTGCCCACCCCTCTTCCTTGAAAATAATTTTTCCATTGTTTTCATAGTTTAATACTGATTTTGATTTTATTCATTACCTGTAAACGTATTCCAAAACCAGCTRTCAGTAGCGTAATCCAAAGTGGTTTGAATTTGTAGCTCTGCCCTTTAGAAACGAGAAAGATTGTTTTAATATCGAYATCACATATCATTGAATTATWGATATCATTGTCATYAGTGAAAACCATGTTGCTATATAGCGGCTGCTAACAGGTTGATTCGGCTGCGCATACTGAGATTTTATCTTATTTTATCCCATTTTTTTCTTTTATATCATTTTTCGTAATCGTAGTCTTCATTTTCATTCGTTTTCCTCTCTTTTTGTATGACCTCCTTTCAAATCTTGTTTCAGCCTTTACCTGCATACGCCCCCTACTTGTCGATGGTAGTGTCTATGATAGTGGTTGCTTTCGATCATAATGTTAGCATTATAGATTAAGCTTACCAATCTTGATTGACGTGATTCTTATCATCAGGCTGCGGCCACTCAACCTGTGTAATAACGCGAGAAAAGATTTACGTGATGTTCATCTAGCATTGCATCTACAGTCTACACTCAATTCCATGTATTTGAATGATAGACGAAACATTAGTAGGACCCACCTCACTGACAACATGTGAGATCTGAAAGGTTAATGCAAGCCAATAGCTGATCATTGCTTCAGTTATGAAGGTCAAAATTAACTGAAAGAAAAAATACAGTTGAGAGTGATGTTTAGATATTCAAAGTCGATTATCAGGGARTTTTGMGAAGAAATTTYTATYGTTRGTAAAACAACCATKACTGGAAAAATCCAAATGCCGCGCAGTCAAAACTGATAGAGCGTCCTGAAAAGTATAATGCGAACTGGGATTTGCCTGTGTGTAAGCTTGGAAAATGAGATCTCATCCATTGCGTCTGAGATTTCCTTCAACTACAGTTAATAAGAACTCATGAACGAACAAATATACYACGACACAAGATGAAATGATTCTAACAGTGCGATTTGGCAAAACCTTGGCTTGGAATCTGGGAATAGAGAGCTGTAATGAGAGAAAATAAACAGGAAMTATCTTACCACGTGGGTGAATGGGAGTAYGAGCAGCGGTATCACCAGCCTTTGGATAAAATAAGCAATTTTACCRAAGTAAAATAGAAAATACGAAGACGGGGACAACGCATTCATGTTCATTGTTCCTGGAAAATGGACAACAAATATTGGTTRTTAYACAGGATATTTTGAGGGGATGTGGAATAGATGAATAYATTGATTTGACTAGTAAGAAGTATATTACATACCATTTGTACCATTAAACATAATGACGAGTTCTTGAAGTCTTGTTTTGGCTGAAAGCTAAAAGATGAATCAAAGCACAAATGACGCAATAAGAAATGAGARTGTAAATGTAAATGATTGTAAAATGATGTTGATGACGCAAGGTCCGTGAATGGCTAGACCKCGTGCTATTCCAGAGTTCCTGATAAAAACGCGCTRATAWAATTTCAWACTTAMATTGTTAGTCGTATATCCCCAAAAAAGCGMTAAGTTCACTAACAGAGCAATATGATWTCCCTACCCACCCTCCGCTAGTCAAAATTGTGCTTACCACACCATASAGGAGGGGTGCGTACAGATGCTGGAAGATATAAAAYGGTAGCCATACTTGGCTCTCTTTGATTCTCCTTACATCAGGTGGCTAAAACGAAAAGACAATAGATGACATGATATTTGACATGAAAAAGTAATAAAAAAGAAAACTAAGAAATAAATAGATAATAAATGAATGAATAAATAATATGCACATTTGATCCACCCAATATGCATAACAAGTCAATTCAATACACATTCAATACACTCGATAATAAAACAAACCTTTTCTGATGTCACAATATCAGGATCAGCACCATCTACATTAGTGTAGGGGTGATGACCAAAAGTATGCTGCAGAAACAAACAAACAAACCAATGAAATTGCAATCAAACCAGCTATTTAGACATCCATCATCAACTGCATTCCTGGGACAGAACCCATAGTTTTACCTGCAAAACCCAACAGAAATACGAGCAGCCCAAAGTCACATTGTGCACTCCTGTCCCAATCAACTTCCATATCCATGGAGAATGAGTAATGGCAAAATGACTAAATAGAAATCGAAAAACAAAATGAAAAAAAAGTGAAATCACATTATGATGTGTAAAGTCTGATTTAGCTGCTCAGCCACACCCTTAAGTAAAAGAGGGCGGAGTCGACAAATTAGCAATATTAATGAAACTTCATTGTCTARTTAATGCACAGAGCTTCTCTTGATGCTATACCAGAGCAGCATATTATATTACCTGGAATCATGAACATTTGTCAGACATAGAAGTGCACCACATGCTCCCATAATTGTAGCAGCTACACAAGACCACWTAAGGTTACCGGCCAACCAGGTCAACTAGAATACAAGGAACACTTTGTTCAATTTTAGCTCTTTACAGAAGTAGTGGGGGACCACCTAATTCTCACTGTCTTTCTTTTTGAGTAAATGGGAAAAGGGTGTGGAAATGTATTCACGACTTTCCATACTCAGGTCCAATGACCATGAACAAAGCATTAAAGCAAGGCATCAAGGTACAGTGAGCATTAATGAAAAGATCTGTGATCAGTGTACCTTGACGGCTTGCTTCAATGCTTTGTTTGTGGTCAATGAACCTGAGTATGGAAAGGTGTGAATTATTAAGGCACAGGTAACCCAAAACGACTATGGGTATGCTTGCAACATGTTGGCTGAATGGCCACCCACTAAGTAATAAATTACCCAGAAGTATTGTTTCTTTTTAGTTGTATTTTCTTGTTGATGTCATGCAACTTTCAATAATAATTGTTATCATTGTCATCATAATCATCATAATCATCAACGATGCTTACCTGTGCATACCATAATACCCAATAAAGCAGGGGATAAAGCACAAGACGAATCCACAGCCAGCCTGGATCCTTGGGATCCTAACGAAGTTAAGTTATTTTGTTTTACTGGGAAAAATTGCCTTTTTGAATTGGGAAAAAGATTTTTAACTTACCTTATTGTTATCCTTGAAATACTTTTGAACTCTGTCTCTTACAGTTTGAAAGAAAAGCCTTGTAAAACAGAAGAAAACAGTATTGTTTTCAAAAGATTCTCATAATTTTCTACTATTCAGAGTTTTTTTAAGAGTTTTGTAAATGGATATTTTTCGATTTTTAAAAATAAAATTTACAGAAACATATTAAYTACATACCCAGATTTTGGATAAGTTGGTAATTCATTTGTTATTAATTCTCCAACATAATATTTCTCTAGAACCCTAAATAAAGAAGATAATAATGATAATTCTCATTTGGGTACCCTGTGTTTTTCATGCAAGGTCATTCAAGGCTACTTCCGGTGATCGAATGATCTCAAGTGTAAYCTCAAAGTTACTTCCGGTGGACTATTGATCAAGGTCATTCAAGGTGATCATTTCACGATGAAGGTTCGTGATYAAAATTTAACATTYTCTTCGAAAAACATAATCTTACTTGTCCGCTTTGTCTGAAAAAGCATGGTATGACTCGAAAACCATAGTTACATCCTTTCCTGCAGCCATCAGCAACACATCCCGACCTCCTGGATGGCGATCGATGAATTTAGTCACATCGTAAACCTTGCAAAATGTACAGAATAAACGATACATAAGAACTGATTGACCGATATTCTAAATATAAGCTTGCGTTTAATCACACAGTTCAGTTATTTCGCACAATCAATGTTTTTCTTCGCTGGAAAATCACTTGAATTTGACATACCAAAGTATACACAAAACAAACATCACCGAAGCAAAAAAATACAAATAGTACAAATGACAAGAACAAGTGAATTAAATACTGTTTAACGTAAATTCTTACCTTTCCTCGTACAGCAACGAAGGCATTATCTTTGGTATTAAGTTGGCTTAGTTCTTGACACGTAAACGTTCGTTTAACCATTTTCTAACCGGTGTATATTTTGTCTATTGTACCGGCTGCTGTACCTGGCTAGACCTTCGACTGATACTGCTAGTTATGCCTCAAAAGTTGCGCGCAGACTCAACAGCAGGAAGTAAATATGAACTTCCGTCACGCTAACTTCCTTTATGGCACGTCATTTCTTTCTTTTCTTATTGTATTTTTCTTTATCTTTTTCCCTTAATCCAATAATATTCAGATGAACTGTGGTTAAACGAAAGAAAAGGAGGGAGAGAGGTTTTAAATAAGAATGAATAGAAGTGGAATGAGAGAACGAAGGAAGACAATAAAAATAGGAAGAGGCCAATGTTTATGAAATATTTATTTGACAACCAAGTAAGATTCATATATGTAAAGGTCACGGTCAATATAAACACTAAATTATAAATACTAAATTATGATAAGACCTGGTCAGATAATAATTAAGTGTCCGGTTGGTATGTGAGTATAAGTCATCAATTTAGTTTATCAGTGTCTATCATATAGCGAGTGCTTTATCGATATAGATAATTCGGATGACTAAACTAGGGCGTTATCTCCCGACCGATAATCCTCGATCAACGAGGGCATAATGGTCGTATCGAAAAATGGAATAGATAAATGAATAAAGTTATTACAACGGTAGACGGACACGAAGACGAGGTTCAGGGGTGAACAAAAGGATTATCCATAGTTTCCCAGAGCCTCGTTTTCAGCTATTTTCATTTCATATCGCAACCGCACTAGGGGTGTTTTCCATTTAGGCAGAACTGGCCGGCCAGTATATAATGCTGTCAACATTTTTCAGTCATTTCGAGGTTTTCTGTAGAATAATGGATAGAATTTGAAAATTTGAATTTCCTAACTAAATGGGAATGATATATAATGACATTTTCTCTGGGTCTGGCCAGCCAGTTCTGACAAATGGAAAGCGCACTAGTATACCCGGTCGAGGCTTATCGTTTTGCGCTAGGCTCGAAAGGGATAATTGGAGGCATTCCTCCTTTATTCTAGTTGAGGGAAGGAGAGGTTATATAAAGTTACATTTCGTGAAAGTAACGCTTTCCTTGAAGCATTACGCGCCTTTGAAAAAGTGACTGGGAAAATAAGAGTCAATATCGCGATGGAATAGACTTAACGAATGGTCGATACGCGAGTAAAACTTGTTTGGTTACTGAAAAAGTTATAAATTAAGCCTCTGATACTTGTTGTTGTTCAGGGTTGTCTGTAAAGAAAAACAACATTATGATAATGCGGATAATACTAACAATAATAATAATATCAACCAGAGGGAATCGGGAATCGTTGAACGAGTGAATTTCAAAAAGCAACATTAATAACGAAGACTAGGATCACGAGAAAATAGACAAAGATTAATCGATAGTCAAGAAAGTGACAACATAGCAATGATCAGCAAACGCAACAATAGCAACAAAAATCGGAAAAATTCGCCAATGAAACGACAAAAGTCCGTAAGTTGTACATCGGGCAGACAATCAAGCATGCGCGCACAGCAGTTCGTAATTCTAAATAGACTTCTGAAGCTTTTACGTCACGTACTTGATTTGCAATGCATTGTGCAATCAGTTTATGGAGAAAATAAAGGAAATCCGCCATGTTTTATCCCCTACATATCCTACAATGCTTTGTGTATGTACGATATATGATGTAAAAGCTTCAGAGGTCTATTGCAAAAACGTTTATGGTTCAGGGTCCTTACCATGTCCATGTTCTCTCATTTCGACATCATTTGTCAAATGTTGTCGACTCAGGGAAACCTCGGAATTTACTTTCCTTGGGCGACTTTTCTTCCAACAAATTACAACAATAATGATTACCACAACTAACACTACCGCTGAACAGGCACAAGCGATGGCTATGATTTGCCCTTGAGTTAGCCCTGTAGACGCGTCTGTTGGCGCCGGCTTAGCTGTTGTAGGTGCTGTGGGTATTTCATCACCGACAGTAAAGGTAAACGAGTTTGGGTCAGCCATCAATGACGTCCCGTCAGACAGTTCCACTCTGAAATTATCAGATTTAACAGCGTTTCCTAAAAGCAGCACAGTGGAATTGAGGCTTGCTTCTGTGTCATGTATATCTGGTATTAAAACAAACGTTACAACTATGCTTCCTTTGGTAATCGTCATGTTAGTGATGCGTGATTCATTGATWTTCATCGTTTTGGMMAGAGATTGCTTGACATCTTTGATAAATTGTTCCTTTTTTTCAGGAGTAACATATTTGTCATAGTCTGCCTTCAACACAAGTCTTACTCTACGTTTTTTCACGGTAGAAGCGGTTGTTGTTGGAGTAATTGGTACGGTTGTCGGTGTGGTTGTCGGTGGGGTAGTATTGCTTTGGAATGCTGCTGTATAACCAAGCTCTGTGCAGTTGCATTGGACATATTTTGTACCATTATTTACTATGTACGAGGGTGTGGTCACACATCCCGTTGATGTCCAAGAGGAGCTGCTAGTGTCCCATCTCTTGCACTATAAAAAAGTAATCAGAAAAGTTAAACTTTTGAGCCTTGAACAACAATTCGTGAGCAATACTTCCAGTGTGCGAAAACTTATATCTTGAGCTTCCAACTAATCTTAACCTTATAGTCAATGATGTTTGGAAAATCAACTTCAAAATACAGGTTTTCCCTCATTACAGTAAACATCATCACATTTATAACGTTCAGCTTTGCTTATTGACCTTATTCTGTACAGAATCTCACCTGAAAGAACGGTTTGTTGATTGTAACRTTCAACACTGGTAGATGATAGGTTAAYGGAGTTGCGAGTCCACTAACATCAATGGTTGTATATGTAGAAGGGTTGTACAACTTCACATCAACAACGCTTGTYAAACTATCCTTAGGTGGACTAGTATCCAATAAGTTGTAAACCTGCTGMGAAGTAACCAGGCACGCACCAGCGCACAGTTTACTRCCAGAGCAATTCCAGGAAGCGTACTTACTTTGCAGTTCCGCACCAAGTTTTACCTTAGCTGTCTTGTTTARGTTGGTGTTGCAATTATCACAAACCATTTCAGTAAAAGATTCACCAACATTTTCAAATGAGTTCTTTTCACTTCGCAGCGCTATCAGTTTGTCGCTGACAACCGATGCAGGCATKCCGACTGCTAAACCAGCGCAKACTTTCTTCCCAGTGGAATCCACGACAGCTAGGAATTGAGATTTGAACTTCATGCTTGTTGAATCGTAAAGATTTGGATCGATTAGATTGCTTTGTAATGACAGTGTAGTTTTAGCCTAAGGATAAAATAGAWTGTGGATATATTAAAGCAACATCATAAGTTAGGACCAAGGACAAAATGGCGATGATGAGAGCAATCATAATGACAAATGTCCGCGTGTCTATTTGATAACTTAGATTCAGTAATCAATGTACACAGTTATGGATATCTTTAATTTACGCATACCTGAGCAACACTGTACACTTCGATGGACGAGGAACTTGAAGTCGCACGTCTTCGRCGTCTTGTCGGCGCCTTTGTCCCTATTTCTATCRAAAATATCGTATCGAAGATGGTGATTTTCGTCTCGGCACTAAACTCTGTTCCGCCTTTAGTTGTTGTAAGAAGAATCTGATAGCAGTCACTTTTCGATTTAGAGTCTTCGGCAAGTCCACTCGTTTTGATAAGATCAGCCAGCTGGAAGAGAGAAATATAAACCTGAATTACAATAACTTGATAGAGAATGGTTGGCTGGACTGGTTAGTGTTTGTTTGGGGTAGTTTGCGCTGAAGTTGGTCGCCAACTTGCAGATTGGTTGACTGACTGAYTGGTTTTTGGTTGGGGTGGCTTACGCTGAAGTTGGTCACTAACTTGCAGATTGGTTGGTTGTCGCGTCAAGTTGGTTTGTTGGCTTACCAATAAGATGGTTTGTTGGTAAATATATTGGTTTGTTGTTATATGATATGTTATTTGTTAGTAAATAAGATATCGTTGGTTAACTTGGTTGTACGTTAGTTTGCAAAACTTACTTTGYTTCCAAACTTTTCTTTCATGGCCAAAGCCTTTTTAGACTTAGTGGAATCAATGTTGTTACTGTCGATAGTAACCAATAAGCTTCCAATTTGAGCTAGAAATATATAACGTAGCCATTAAACTTGACTGCAATTAACCAGTAAAATAGTTCATATAGGACCTTAATTTTATCGTTGAAACGAGTTGAAAGCCCCATGCAAACAATTACAAAGTCTTGAACGAATTAATGTTCAAAATGTTTAAAGCGTTCGTGCCGGCCTTTAGGCTTTTAATAGATACTAGCTAGTAATTATAATCCCAATTTCATCTTACCAATGCCTTTGCCATAGTTTCCTTCGTCTAGTATTTTCAAGGCATYAGTCTCAGACTTTTCYAGGAAATCTTCAGTGATCACTGGAGGTTTAACTTGAACAGTAGTGGTTTGGCGAGTAACTGCACCCAATTTATCCTTCACTTCTACAAAGAGGTTCAAGGAATAATCTTGTGCTGCATCGCCTAAAAAATTAAACACAATAAAAATACAGTTTGTTTTAAGTTAGTTGCGTGGCTGTTTTTGCCCACCAGTTACTGGAAAATATCCTCAAATGGAGGTCAATTTGCACAAATCGTGTATCAACGAGAACTGGACACGATCGGCTCACAAAACACGTTCTCGATCTACAGCAAATATTTGTTTTCTAAAATGCAAAATTAAAATAYAGCGAAAAACATAACTGTTTCTGAATCRCTTCTCAGCTATTTTGTTCGCAATTACCCATGAATCATCGTCAAGCGTCGTGAAAAGKTCTAATAACTCTCACCTTGTGGTAAAAGTAAGCCAGAAATAGAGGTAGACTCATCGAAAAAGTTCAAGGGAATTTCTTCTTGATCTTTTGTATAGTAGCCAAAGCGATAGACCAGAGGAAGGTGATCTTCATTATCGGACCAGCCCGATTCAGCATCCAGGAAAAAGAAATTTTCCATGGCAGTTCCATTAGAAGGATTGATCACAAAAGTGCCTGTCAGGACAAATGGAACCGTTAATAAAACCATGAGAGCTGGTGAGGGGACGGTGATTTGATAATAGYGCWTTTTTCTAAGAAAAAGGGACTRATTAGGACTGAATAAGTGATGGTTCCACGGAAGGCGAACAATGACCAAGTTAATTTACAATGTTTGAAGTCATGACAGCAAAGTTATAAGCACTGATTCAAACCTGCCAAAATTATAATGTAAAGAATGGTGCCCAGCCCAACATACATTCGATTCTTTACATTTCTTGATTTTTTTCCGTTTCTATTAACATTAACTTGCTACTTTATCTGGGTGCATATAGTTAACGATCCCAGTCCCTTTTAGCAGTCCTATCTATCTAAGAGTTCATACCTTGTGAAGGTGGTGCGTTGGTGTAAATGACMGTCTCACTGGTTGCATTAGAATCAGCATTAGAAACATTAAGCCTAAACCTATAGCAAACTCCACTTTCAAGACTATTTTTTGACAACACTAGAGCGAAGGTTTTCTCTCCTCCCTTGTTAAAMTGYAAGTCAGTTCTAGTCAAAGCAACTCCATCTTTGCGCAGATCAATGTAGCCACACTCGTTGTCTTCTACAACGTCCCAGTGCACACTGAAAGGATTTTTGCTCTCGGCAAAGGCTTCAATGATTAAGATTTTGTTTGGATTTTGCTCGGTTTCTTCCTGTTCAGTTATAAGTGCAGACGGTGGGGTACCCGGCAAAACCTTAACCTTTACTTCTTTGGATGCTTGTCTCTGGCCCTTGTGATACGTCACYTTGAAAGTATATCTGMAAAAGATTCAACCAATAAGCCATGTGGTCGAAACAAAGGAGAAAATGTGAGCATGCGCAATGAATAAACCATGGCACATGTGGGATACATGGGGATCGGCTCAAAAACGTATRAGAGCATGTGTAATGAGGATCAGCAAACACATGTTAATTGCATGCGATGAACTATGACCCATGTGGGAAAGACTCAGCAAACAATTGTTTGCAGTATGCATTTGGAATGATTACGGCGCAAGTGCAATAGGCAAAAGAAAACATATGACAATTATATTATATGTATCAAGTATAAACGATGTAAAACACATACATGCTATTAGACTTAAGCGTTTTTTCCACATCAATGCTAATTTTTGCTGAACTTGGCATCTGGAGTCTAGTCTTTTTATTCGAGGAGTCACGATAAAACACTGATTTTCCCTCAGAATCTGTAGCAGCCCAAGTAAAGCGTTCTGGCTCTGATGATCGATCAGGATCTCTGGACGGTCTTGCATTAAGCGTCAGAATCTGTTCTGCACCTATTACTCGATATAGACCGCCATCAATGCGAGCAAGAAGAGGACTACTTTCTACTATCAGGGTGATTGTCTGTGTATAGTACAAACTCGGGTCGGTTGCCATTGATGCTACTAAAGTAAGACGGTATTCCTAAAAAAAGAAGATTAAGTTATGTTTATAATAATACGTTAAGGCAAGGACAATAATGTGATCGGCTATGGCTCGTGATTTACTATAATTTATTTGAGGTAATTAATAACGAGTTATGTCCTAATGTACTGACCAAGTTATTGCATCATATGTCTTCAAAACCGACATTTACAGTCCTTAGGAAAGCTTATGTTGGTCGCGATACAGTATAGAAATTCTGAACTCAGTGACATRATTTAGCRTTACCTTTCCTCCTTGGAGTAATCCCGACTTGATTATAAGTACTGGTCTATTTGAAATGCCAAKATCTACTCCAGGAATCTCCCAGTTAAATGTAAGGATGGTAGCAGCGTCCGTGTTCACACATGGAGAGAGTTTGGGTTTTGCTGAAATCGGTTGAGAGCTGTTAGTTGGATATCTTTGAAATTATAGCTATGATATGATTATAGTATGCGTGATTACTGCATTGCCAGTCTTGATACTATACGTTACTACACCTATATAAATTGAAATGCGCTTCAATAGGAAATCGTTGTCGGGTTCATCATGACTACATGATGGAGGCTAAGATCGACAGCAACAAGTTTGTATGGTGTTATATGCATATCATGGGTTTCGAGCGCTGTCTGCCTAGTTTATGTCTTCATGATGTCCCCTTKTTCAACCCGATAGCGTTTTTTAGTTTCAATATACAGTTAATATACAATGTGCAGAGACGCCATTTTGTGCAACAAAGCAAGACGGGAGTTTAAGGTTTTTCATATCTGGTAGAGAAGTCATCGTTATGTTTTATTGTACAAAATAACGTTGCTGTACWTAAATACACACCTTGGATCATGAGGTCACGTGACGCCTTCACCTGTCGTCGAGTCTCTCCTAGTTCTACAATAGGAATTTCCTTATTYTCTCTGACCACCACAAGGGTTGCATTTTCGCTTTTTGTCCCCAAAAAGTTGGATACGTAAACACGAAATTCATACTTAAAGTTAAGAATAATGTTCTCCTTTGTTAAGGTGATTCTTCGGGTGAAACTTGGTAGAGACTTCAGTTTGTCATTGATGGCTTTAATGTCTGCAGTTGCATTGGCTGTCAAATCKGTCGTGTTTTGGTCCGAAGCCCATACAACATACCAGAAAAACTTTAATTTTCGTCCTCCGCCACCAAAGGAGCGAGACGCATCAAGTTGGACTTGTGCGCATGCACCTGTAACAGAAATAATTGACATTGTTATCGTTATTTGTGGGGGGGGGGGGGTGTTACAGGTGACTGTAATAGTAATATATTGTGACGTCATAACCAGGGTTTTGTATATGGATACCCCCCTGTTATTCACATGCCCATATCTATTAATCTATGGAAGATGTTGGTGTCATCTCATCATCATTGTACGATGTTCATTGCAATACTTACCTACTGTATTAGGACCTGATAGTTGAGCGACTGAACGAACACCTTTAGGAGGACCACCTAAGACCAATGTACGGTTATTTGGAGCCATGACCTTTGTGTATTTCTCAAACTTACGCTTAAGAGTACCATCCTTGAAGTGAATCTGATCACCGGGAGCTATCGTTGGATCTCCAAGCAAAGAAATCTCCAAGAGTGTTGGCGTACTAAATGTACATACACAATGAGATCCAAATGCAGAAACGTCCGTGAAAAGTCCTTTGCATAACTTGCTGTCGTATTCAGCTGGTTGGTTCATTTGTAGCMTGATTGACTGAAGACTCTGCGAGAGGTTCGCTCGTAATGGGTACGGAGACCAAACAAASACACGGAAAAATGATGCCGAGAGAATGATATCAGTATCAGAGGCTCCAAACTGAGGAGAGAGCTTGAACCTCRCAGATCGTTTTATATCCCAAATAACACATGTGATTGACGTAGAGTTGACGTAAATAGCAGGAAATATCAAACCCACGTCGGTGATACATTTAGTGTAGCCAGTGTCAGGAAAGTTCTCGCCTGTGATAGTAACATTAAATGCTCCTGAGTCTGCCTCGTGCTCTTCAGGCGTCAGCGAATGATATATGATTTCACTTCTGTTATACAATGTGAAATTGTTTTCGGTGTGATAATAAGTGTCCACATTGTCAAACTGTACTCTGAAGCTGTATAAACCAACTGGAGTTAACTTTGGCACTTTGGCTGATATCTCTTTGTTATTAACAAATTGAACATCTGTCATGGTATACCTATCAATCAAATATAATAAGAAAATTATTACTAGGCTTCTAATGGGCGCTACAATTAGACTATGTATATCTTTCTTACATTGAGTTTATTTTGTTTTTACATACAGCGATCGCGCATCTGAATGTAACATGCGCAGCCAGGAATTCCAACCCACTGCGATGTAGTTTTGGTCACATTGACCCAGAATAAAACTCTTTAACCCAAACCCTCTCGGAGAAGGTAGGAACGCCTGGCTACGCAGTCTACTCTAAAAGAGAAAGGCCGCTAAAATACTAACGTTGTTAAGAAAGTGGACACCATTTGGAAAGATGATACCCTTTTGAACTTTTGAAGTCCTGCTGCTCGAAATGTTACTACGTTAGAATCATTGAAGTCCCCACTAATAGGTTGAGCCCACAGTTTAGTACACTCTGCATTGTACTTTGCGTCTGTTGGATCATAACAATTACCACACCTATCCCATTTTTTCTTTCCTTTGGGGGTACCAGCGCAGTCAAGACAGGACGAGTTGTCACCTCCACAAACACCGCACATATCCTGGCCAAACGTTTCGGGTTTTCCAGTATTTCCCATCACACACAAGTTACACCTACGAATAAAAGCAGTCGCAAACGCTTTCAACATTTGTTTCAATGTCACGACTTTCCATACCCTGAACAGTTAAGCGACCACAGTGTACCTAGTGCAGTACAGTATCACAGTCTTCCTAGTGTTATTGTATACCTAGTGCAGTACAGTATCACAGTCTACCTAGTGCGATAGTGTACCGTGTGCGGTATAGTATCATAGTCTACCTAGTGCGATAGTGTACCGCGTGCGGAACAGTATCATAGTCTACCTAGCACGATAGTGTACCGTGTGCAGTACAGCATCATAGTCTACCTAGTGTGATAGTGTACCTAGTGCAGTACAGTATCATAGTCTACCTAGTGTGATAGTGTACCGTGTGCGGTACAGTATCATAGTCTACCTAGTGGGATAGTGTACCGTGTGCGGTACAGTATCATAGTCTACCTAGTGGGATAGTGTACCGTGTGCGGTACAGTATCATAGTCTACCTAGTGGGATAGTGTACC